AGAAAAATAAATGTTAAACATATTACTTCACAGCTACTAAAATGTGAACTAACATCAATTCAAACAGGTTCTGTGCTCTCATCCAGGTACAAAATCAACATAACTATCATCATAATTATCCTCTTAAAGTGAACATGTGCTTTGCCTTTGCAGAGCAAACAGGTTCACTTGAATTCCAGCCCCACCAGCTACACATGCTTGGCTTTGTTTGGTTGCCAGGAGTGGGGAGCCAAGTGCAAGCCATGACCTCATGTGACAACGTTAAATGCCTGAGTGGCCAATTGCCAAGCACCACCACTGTGATGGGAGGAAGAGGAGTGGGGTTGACATTAAAGTGAACCTGTCCCTTTGCTGTTCGGATAGAAATAGTGACTGCACTTGTATTTTAAAGGTTCATGCGTCAGCTGGTTCTATCACCACATTTATCTTTATAGTGAATATATAATATTAATCTACTTACTTGTCAACGATTACATTCTGTCATTACTACTTTCACCCACTCAACCTGCTCTACTGTAGTTAGTATCCAAAAGACCCTCATTCACACACAGATACACTGTATGGCTAAATTTGTGTGGGTACCTGACCATCACACCTATATGAGCTGTTGGACATCCCTTTCCAAAACCATGGGCATCGACATGAAGCTGGCCCTCTTTAATGGCTAGAACAGTGATGGCGAACCTTTTAGAGACCAAGTGCCCAACCACAACCCAAAATCCACTTATTTATATCAAAGTGCCAACACTCCAGTTAAATCTGAATACTGAGGTTTTAGTTTAGAAAAAACAACCCGTACATTAACATCTTTTGTCGTAAAAGAAAAACACAATAACAGAGCTTCCACTGACCACCAGCACAAGGGGGAAAAGTTCTACTGACCACCAGCTCAAGGGGGCAAAGTGCCACTAACCACCAGTACAAGAGGGCAAAGTGCCACTGACCGCCAGCACAAGGGGACAAAATGCCACTGACCACTAGCACAGGGGGCAAAGTTCCACTGACCACCAGCACAAGCTAAAATCTTGTGTTAATAGAAATCAATGTATTAAAACTCACAGCCAGTCCAATATATCTATTCTTGGCAGTGCACTGACTGGCCATTTGAAAACTCGGACGAGTTCGGGCTAATGAGCCACGGCTCGTGACGTCATCGCCTGGTGCCACTACTCTTTTTCGAGCATGCGCATAGCCCCTATGTGTGCTGTTATCTGATGCTTGGCTGCTGGGACGACTTGGCTCACATGCGTACAGAGAGGGCTTTGCGTGCCCACTGTGGCACGCATGCCATAGGTTTGCTACCACTGGGCTAGAACATCTTCTTTCTGGCAAGATTTTGGAGTTTGTCTATGGGAATATGTGACAAATTAAGTGTGTAAGTTTAGGAAGTTAACAAATGACAACTGTTAGATTTTAGAATAAAATGAACATAATGATTTTCTAGGGCAAACTTTCTCAACCATTCGACTGCAGAGGAACCCTTGAAATAGTTTTCAGCTCTTGTGGAACCCTTGCAAAAACCAATTCATTAGGGACCAGTGATAAGAATGTCTCTATTGCAGTGGTGGTCACAATGCCACCCTTACAGATTGTTTTTGGTTAATGCAGCCGGCTTTGCCAAGTGGCATTTGCCCTAGAACTAAGCAGACGCTATCAAATGGGAGATCAATCAGCCACAGTTCAAGGAACCCCCTAGCAACCTCTGGAGGAACCTTAGGGTTCCACAAAAACCTATTTGAGCACGGCTGTTCTATGGTTTACATACAGTAACACAAAATATAATCAATTATGTTACATCACGTAGAAATGTACTGTGGCTACTGTAGCCAGGTGCCATAACCTGGAGTGAAGCCCATAAACTCTAGTCTGCGCAGTACATGGACCATGTCAGACTTGCACGAGGGTCCTTTGTGGCAGTTTGTCACAGTGGTTAGACAAATAGTGAGAGGCTATAAAACAAGGGACTACAGTCCAAGCCACGTCAAGCTTATTGGAAATGATTACACTGCATATATGCCAGTTGAAAAAGACTATATAACCAGTTTCCAAACACCTGACCATCACACCCACAGTATATGGGCTTGTATTTCAAATACCACAGGCATTACTGTAGAGTTGGCCTCCCTTTACAGCTACTGCAATCTGCATAAAGGGTTTGTTAGAATTTTTCCCTGATTAAACCAAAAGAGCATTTGTGAGGTCAGGTTTTGATGTTGGACAAGATACCTGTCTCACAATTTGAGACCTGGCATCCCAAAGGTGTTCATTGGGGTTCAGGTCAGGGCTCAATGCATGTCACTTGAGTTCCTCCACACCAAACTTATCAAACTATGTCCTTGTGGAACTGATTCTGTACACAGGGGCACAGTCATGCTGGAACAGAAAAGGGCCTTCACTAAATACTTATCACAAGGTTGAATAAGCACAATTGTCTAAAATATTTTTGTATATTGTAGCATTAACAGTACCCAAACTGGAAACACCTGAGCTTAATATTGTGGTGGGGTGTCCACATACCTTTGGTCCCTATAGTGTAGATAATGCCAGTAAAGGAAAGTGCTTTATCCTCTCTCATTGATTACCCTTGGTGGATTTTTTTGGGCAAATAATTTAGAGGATAGATTTACTAGAATGGTTTTCTTTAGCGCCATTAAAACCCTCAGCTTTTGGTAAACTTTCTGCTCCATTCTTATTAATAAAAAATCCAGGCAGATAACCCAATTTTCAATGAAAATACCTATAATATGTATTACTTGATAAAGGATTTGCATATCTCTCTCTCTCTCTCTCTCTATCTCTCTCTCTCTCTATATATATATATATATATTCACACTGCAGTTATATACATGTGGTGATACATGTGGTTCCTAATTAAGTAATTTGTTGGATAGGTGCAGCGTGGTACGGTAGGCAGAAAGCACACAGAGTCCCAATTTGCCAAGAATTATGTATTGCAGAACTAGTAAAAACAGTACAACCAGGCCCAGCGGGGAGGCTCACCCGACCAGGGCACAGGGGCGGACTGACAACTCATGGGGCCCCTGGGCAATAGGGGATCATGGGGCCCCTGTGTCCTTGCCCAAACTCAAAAAAGCCTATGAAAAAGGTACCAGGGGCATCTCATGGGGCCCCCTACTGACCCCGGACCCTCGGGCAGTGCCCGAGTTTCCAAATGGTCAGTCCGCCCCTGGGCACAACAGTTCAGTGCAGGGACAGTGGATTGCAGGTTCCGTGCTGCAGACAGCATCTGCCACAAGGAGTAGAGTGCAGGCCGCAGTCCAACCCAATGGGAAGCTTTCTAAGAAGGTATACATAGTCCCTACTCTTTCCGGACTGTACCAGAACCTCTCCTTGTCACTAATGCTGCTTCTGACGGATGGGTGATTTGTCCCTACACTAGTCACCAGCATAAAGTGCACCAAAACCCGGGGTCAGAGTCTTAAATAAACTCTGCATGACCCAAGTCAGGCGCCAGGATCACATGGGACAAGAGCATCCAACCAGATCACTGCCCTATGTGGCCGAGGAAGTTATAGAAAAACACAGTTTCCCTCCACTTTCTCTCCCCACTGCCTTCATGCTGTGGTTCAGCACCACATCCAGTGGTGAAAATAGACTGCACCTGCCTACAAGTTCATTTAACTGCATCAGCAGAGCAGTTCCGCTTCATAGGTCATCTATCCACCTCCAGCCTCTTCATTGGGCATTGAATGAGCATTATTGCCTCTGTCCAGTGAGCAGGGAGCTGACCTAAGAAGCAAAGCCATAGGGTGAATCTACTGACTAGCAGAGGTCTGTAATTCACAAGAACGGTCAGCCACAATTCCAAAACCTTTGGTAATAAAGAAACACATATACCTTTCACTCGTGTTTAAATTAATTCAGTTTAAATGAAGGCAGCTCTCAAGGGTGCCCCTTATTACCATACCTCTTTGCAATAGTAATTGAGGCTCTAGCAATCAAAATTCAGTCAGGCCCAGCTGTTCCAGGGCTGCTCGTTGGCCCATATGTTGTAACTGCCGGACTCTCTGCCCAGTTATTGCTCTATCTTGAAAATTCAGGTCCAGCTCTCTCAAGGGTCTCTCAGATAATTGATTCTTTTAGTTCCTACTTTGGTTTATGCATAAATTGGCAGACATCCATATTTTCTGTCTGCATTCTCCATCTCCTTGTGCCTTCCTTGTAGTACAAAATCTTCAGTGTGTAAATTCTAAAAGAATATGCAGAAATATATTTATAAAATTCAAGCTCACTTTTATTAAGTGAAGAACAAACTAGCTGTCTGGAATGACTTGGGATCTAAATGGATCTAATAAAAATAGTTTATTAAAAAATGTAACCACCCCACAGAACTCTATAATTGACATCTCATTTTTCAAAAGAACTAAAGGGATTAATGTCTTAATTCAGAGGTCTCCAAACTTTTCAAACAAAGGGCCAGGTTACTGTCATTTAGACTTTAGTAGTGCCGGATTGTAGACAGAGGGGGTAGAAAATGTCTGAGGCCCACTATTAATGAGAATATACATTGCCTCAGGGTTGGTAGGGGGAGGAGTAGATCCCCATCATTGGTATTGGTGGGAGGAATTGCACCCAATCATTGGTGTTAGTGAGAGAAATAGTACCCCATCATTGGTGTCAGTGGGAGGAATAGTGCCCCATCAATAGTGCCCCATCAGTGGAAGGTCAGTGGGAGGAATAGTGCCCCATCAATAAGGAATAGTATCAACAATTATAATAAAAAGTGTCCTCACAATAAACAAAAAAATACTATTCCTTCCACTGATACCAATGAATATTCCTGAATTGGAATAGTACCAGGGGTGGACTGACCATTTGGAAACTCGGGCCCTGCCCGAGGGCCCGGGGTCAGTAGGGGGCCCCATAAGATGCCCCTGGTACCTTTTTCATAGGTTTTTTTGAGTTTGGGCAAGGACACAGGGGCCCCATGATCCCTTATTGCCCGGGGCCCCATGAGTTGTCAGTCCACCCCTGAATAGTACCCACTTATTGGAATCAGTGGGAGGAATACTACTTCATCATTGGTATCAGTGGGAGTAATGGTACCCCATTGTTGGTATCAGTGCAAGGAATAGTGCCCCATCATTGGTATCGGTGGGAAGAATAGTTCCCCATCATTGGTATCAGTGGGAGAAATAGTTCCCCATTGTTAGTATCATTGGGAGGAATAGTTCCCCATTGTAGGTATCAGTGGGAGGAATAGTGCCCTTTTGTTGGTGTTAGTGGAAGGAATAGTGCTCCATCATTGATCTACAGTAGGTGGAAGGAATCGTATCCCATCATTACAGTCACTGGCAGGAAATATGCCCTACTGTTGGTGTCGGTGGGAGGAATAGTGCCCTTAGGGCTGGATAAAGGCTAGCAACGGGTCACAGTTTGGAGACCACTGATTTATTTGACAAAACACTAGGGCAATGATCATACTGGCCACATGTAGAGGTCTTAAAACTTCTGCCTCTCTTATCTAGCAGGACAGTCACAATATGTGTGGCACTGGGTGGCCAGCATCATTCTTGCCCCTGTATCCAAATTGCTACATAGCAAATATTGGAAATCCCATCAATTATTTGCCTGCTTTGAGTGCTCTATTTAATCAAAAAGTGTTACTGGCAAGACCAAATAACATTCAGCATTACCAAAGCAGTTGCAGACCTTGTCACCAGAGTGTTAATTTCAACATCAATATTCCCACAAGATTATACTGTATGTGCATGTAACCTATGTTATGCCTATTTAGCAATAAAATCCTCCCTTGTGTAGACATCTTGGATCCCAGCTTGGATGTGATGCCAAAAGGTTTGGCAGACTCAGAGCTGTCACTGAAGTGACACTCTCTACCACCATTCTCATCCATTTTATCCTAATAAAAACTCTATAATCATTTTTCTAGTCTTCAGGAACCCTTACTGAAACCCATTCATCTGGTGGCAAATGCAAAAATGGATTATACCATTAGGCAAGTCATTAGGCAAACTAAAACCCTTAGAGGGATGGTCAGAATGCCACCCTTACAGATAGCTAAATATATGACTGGTGGCATGCTGCTGGCTTTGCCAAGTGATGTTTGCCTTGGAGCAATGCATGCCCCATCAAATTGTGTGGTCAATCAGCCAAGGAACCCCTAGCAACCTCTGGAGGAACCCTGGTTGAGAATGGCTGCTTTTTCCAGCATTTCCCTACACTCCTCCACTGGAAGCTACATATTAGGCTAAGTAGGGAAGTGAGCGGAGGAGCTGGGCCAGTACAGAGTAATTAGATAGTGAAGTGTGACAAACCCCAAACTGTGTCAGGTAAACTGTAAGAGACCCCATGATATCTAATTGTGTTCCTGCTCATAATGAAATGCTGCTTTATATTGTAATATGTATCTATTGCTGTATGCGGATTGTCCATAGATAAAACAAATGTATAAAACCGTTTTTTAATGGCAGATATAAAAGATCTAAAGCAAGCAGCCCAGTATACATCAATACATGTAGTGTTGTAAAAGAAGAATTCCTGTGCAGTGGGGCAGTGTCCGCTTTGCATGGATTACCTGCTTGTTTTTTTCTAGGGCAGTGGTCTCCAAACTGCGGCCCAAGGGCAGGATGTGGCCCTTTGCTTGCCTTTATTTGGCCCTTAGAGCACTATTCCATCAACTGTCATCAATGATGGACCACCATTTCCCTTACTGACACCATCAATGGTTGCACTATTCTTCGCATTGACATCAACAATGGGGCACTATTCCTCCCATTAAAACCAACGATAAGGCACTGATTCCGGGGGTTTTCTACTCCCACTGACTATAGTCAGTCCCCCCCTCAAAAGTCTGAAGTACATTAAACTGGCCCTTTGGTTAGAAAGTTTGGAGACCCTTGATCTAAGTGAGTGGCCAGCTAAGATATACTCACCTAATCCTCTGGTCCTCCCATTCAAGACTGGTCCCTGCCCCCCCCCTAACCCCCCCCCCCCCAGTCTAATGGTCTTTTGCGGTGGACTGTTCTTGATGTCATCATGCCCATTCTTCAATGACCAGTCTAGGAGTGTTTGCTTTTGGAGTTTTATTGTAGAACTGGGGATAGGGATGGGGAATTTAGTAGGATACTCCAAGATTAGAACTATTCACATCACATCTAGCTGATCTCTTAGTTGAGCACTTTTGAAGTCTGTTTGAAAGCAGATAGCAGGCTTAAATTTTAATAGCAGTAGCAGTAGTTGCAGGGCTGGGCTCCTCAGGTACAGGCCTGTTATGGCAGACTGTGGTAGTCCAAATGTAATAGAACTGAGCAAAGTCCTTTGCAGTAACAGTTGGACAAGCTCTTCAGAACCCCAGCTAGTGTTCCCTTTTTCTCAGACTCACGCTGGCTATCAAGCACCAGAGGGATAGCAAAGTATCCATCTTTTGGTCCGGGACCGGTATTGATGACAGCCATATACACAGCAATATATGCCCAGTTACATCTTCCTTTTGTGAGTAACTATTAAACGTTGTTTTTAATACTACACCTAGATGGTGCATGTTCTCCTTTTCTCATAGCAAAGTACACAGAGTTCCCAAGATCTATCTGTGTCTGCACTAACAAGTCCATTGACAGAATGGAAGCCTCCCTCCAATCTTCCAAATGACTCTTTCTAGTGATACCAGACACATCTTTGGCAGACAGCTCCCCTCAGTGAGCTTACTGTAGAAGCAGGGTCACTCTTCCTAACTTCAGGCCCTCAGGTCGCCCATCTGAGGCCCGCATGGCAGCCAGTGCTTGGTACAATCCTCTCTACGGAAAGATGCTGAACCCATGTGCTCACAGAACATAAATATCACTCCCAACATGCAATGGGGCCATCCTCCCCTGTAATTGGCCAGGGCTGTATCCATATTAATACTGCTCATTTGCCTACTCCCCACCCAGGTTCTGGAAGGCTCTCTTAGCTTCTCATAGCTTCCTGAATGTGGACAGAACTCAGAGTAACTCGGCACCAGGACATCATGAGCAGACCTGACTAATCCATCACAGCACTCTGTTAAGCAAAGAGCCCAATTAGATTTTCCTAACTGTCTCTGTTAAATAGAGAAACACAGGTACACGTATCCTAACCATACAAATCCTAGCACCTACCGTAACTAGGAGGGTGTTATGCTAAATTTTTGGGAGGTTTAGACAGAATGGAATAGTATTAGAACCTCTGTCAGGTTTGGAAAAAGGTAAGGGGACACACAGCATTTAAAAAACAGAGGATCTAACCCTTCCCCACTCTATAAAAGAATGTATGTTTATCTTGATTTTATTCTTTAACTGCAGTAATAAGAATTCCTTTGTGCTGTCTTGGGCCATTGTTTCCATTATATAAGTGTTAACCCTTATGCAGAGGTGTGGGGTATATGGTGATTTCACATCAACCTGATGTCATTTTGCAGATGCTAAAAGCCCTAATTACATTTTCTCCATGACTTCTTTCCTAGGATAACCCCAGAACGCGATCACACACTGAAGAAAGTCTCTGGCGTTTTAATGAGCCAGCCAGCTCGGCTTGTTGTTTTGAGACGTAATCTTCAACGCTCAAGGCAATCAGGAAAATTCTAATAAAGCAATTTGACAAAAAATGAGGTTACATACAGAGCTTATTGGTTCAAGAGTTTACTGCTGGCTGATGAAAAGCCTTTACTTATTCTTGATCATTACTTTTCTAGAAGGCTTCTGCTTATGACTGCTAGCTTGTAGGAAGAGTGTCCTTAAAGGAGAGATCTGGTCTAATTAAAGAAAAACTGGTTCAGCCAGGCTAGCTATGTACATCAGTTGTCAACTTATAGGTATAGAGGGCTTTAAATGTGGCCCCTGTAGTCACTAACAGGATTCAAAATAATGCCCATTATATGAAATGTTACAGGAGACTGCGTATATACTACAGTAGATGACCAGAGACTGCTGATATGCTACAGGTGTGGTTGTAGACATGAGAAATGCTGCAGGGCATGGAAATGGCCTGGGGACATGTTTCAAGAAACTGCTAGGCAGGCCATAGACTGCGATTTACTTTCCTACAACCACGGGTTGCAGGAATGAGAAGAGCTGGCTCTGTTGATGAGGGAATCCTTCCAGTGGAGCTGTTGTGTTCTCCCGACGGGGGAGGGAGACATTAGTGGAATTGAAAGCCTTCTCTGCCGGGAAAACACAATAAATATTGCTATGGGCTAGAGTCAATAATCCCATGAAAAGTCCGACAGGCTGATTGTATCCAAGTCGTAAAACAATCATGTACAATTGGGTATAATCAGCCTGCCCAGAGATGGTTGTAATCTCGGACGGTCCCAAATGAACCATTTATGGCCGGTTTTAGAGATCACCTGCCCACTACTGATTGCTTTGCATCAAGGGCTGCCCAACAAGAACCTCAGGTTTGGCACTATGGATTTCAAGGGTTTTAGCAAACAGTTTTTCAGATTCCTATCTTCTATTTTCTACCAATATGCATGGTCTTTTACGAACGGGTATGTGTTCCTTGTTATCACATAGACCTATTATTTAGCAATGAAAGCCTCCTTTGCATAGGCTTCCTAAGTCCCTGAGACTGCTGCTTGGCTCCCCCATCTTGGATGTGATGCCAGAATTCTTTCAGACTCAGAGCTGTCACTTAGGTGACACCTTACTTTCTCCACTGTTTTACCCCAGAGAAAACCCTGTAATAGTTTTCAGATCTTGGGGAACCTTTACTGAAATCAATTCATCTGGGGGCAATTGGAAAAATGCCTTATACCAACCATTCTCAGTAGGCAGACTAAAACTCTTCCAGTGATGGTCAGGATGCCACCCTTACAGATATCTCATAAGATGATTGGTATTGTGCTGCTGGCTTTGTCAAGTGGCATTGACCCTGGAACAGTACAGGCACCATCAAATTGGGGATCAATCACCCATAACTCAAGGAACCCCTAGCAAGCTCTGGAGGAACTCTGGTTGACAATGGCTGCTCTATATAATATTTCCCTTCACTTCCTACCTGGAAGCTACATAATAGTTTATGTATGGCGGTGAGAAGAGGAGCTGGACCAGCACAGAGTAGTTAGATAGTGAGGTCTAACAAACCCCAATCCCAATGTGG